GGAGAAGATGATGATGCTGATATTAAATCTGTGGACTTTCCTAAGTTTGTGGTGGCAAGCAACTAGTTAGTATGCTGGAACTGCATGATCATGGATGGACCAGCTATGTTGTATGGTTGATACTTTTGATGAACCTAATATGTATTAATCATGTATGATTACATAATGGTGGACGTCACCTTTTGAAATTAATGTAGCATAAACATTATAAACATGTGTGTCCTAATTTCTTTTAGTAGCTCGCGAGCTAAACGAGCCAACTCGAGCCGAGCCGAGCCGAGCCGAGCTGGCTCGTTACCCTAACGAGCCAGCTTGAGCTGGACCCAGCCGAGTTGCGCTACCTCGATATCCAACCCTACTTATAGTGGAGTTTATGGGCCCGTTTGGCTCTAACCCTGGCCAACGTTGCCTGGCCAGGCAGCTCCCTAGACCGTCGATTTTGAGGGCCAGGCGGATGGATCAAGCTGCCTGGGCGAGCACCCCAGGCCACGCCGTTAACCAAACAGGCCACGCCGTTAACCAAACAGGCCACGCCGTTAACCAAACAGGCCCTATATACGTATACATTCATAGAGTGTAGTATACGCATACATGTACGAGTGTCTATGCCTGTACTACAATTCACAAATAAAAAACAAGTACTTTCTTGGGCTGTACTTCGGGGAAGCTCGCTCACATTCACCTAGTGTTAGTGCCGCTAAACTTATTAGGAAAAAAAATTATTTTACCTCCCTAAACTATTACCGGAGTTTAATTTTCCTCCTAGTATTATAAAACCAGATATCTTAACCCATGCACTCTTACCGTTCAAATTACCTCCTGCCGTAGTTTGGAGTGCTTTTGAAGGTGCTTTTGTCTTTTTTTTTCAAAAAATAGTAAATACTTGATAATTTTTTTAAACCACAAAAATATCTCAATGCTTTTAAAAATCTAAAAATAGATTCTAGAGATAGGTTGGAATGTAACAAATTCAAATACAAATATTTAGAGCTCATGCATGAAAGTATCCATACATGCTTCAATAAAATGATTGGCCTCTAAAAAACGAAAAAAGTATCCAAAAATCAAGCAAATGCTCAAAACATTCTAATTAATATGTAAATGTGTTTTGAAAACCTTTCACAACAAAAAACATAATATGCAACCAACACAAGTGCATAGCATAAATACATTCAGCATTAATGTATGTTATATTCATGATGGTCACATCTCATATTTTGACGTGCAAAGTTTTTAAAGCATTTTCAAATGTTTGGAAGATATTTCTAAGTTTTCACATGATACACTTATTTAAGGTGCATATGTCAAGGTTGACATACGATCCTAGGTTGCCCTGGTTTCAAATGTTTGGACCAAAATGTGTTTTCTTATCCTGTGCATTATCCATTTATCCTAGCAGTCGAATAGAAGTACTAATTTATTATCTGAACTGTTATGGGTCATTTCACATATCATGTTTGCTATGACTATATCACTATAGTGTAGGCTACCAACTACAATATGTTTTCAGAAGAGATCTTTGAACTTAGATATCATCCTTCTCACATTGAAATGGCAGTATTCCGTGTACTGACGCCATATATATATTCAACACAAGGCGTGCCAGCTAATGCTATGACTCCATGTTTACTGACTGACATGGTCATTAGTATTTCCCATCTTTTATGGTTGTAAAGATGAAGAGAAAATTTTGTATTGTTACGACACCCATTTTATCCTCTGAGATGACAAGATATGATCCCTTGATTTCATTTCCAAGTTTTGGAACTCCCACTGTGCCTCTGTATATTATATTTATTATTTATTATTGTTAGCTGTATGCCTTTGTGCTACAGTTGATCTTGTCACCCGCTGAAATTATTTATCTTGATTAGAAAAGTTCATTGTGTTTTCTAACTGTCCTAGTAACACTACCGGACTCAGTGGACTCAGTGGCTTTGACACTAAGCAAAGCTCAATTTGCACTCGGCAAAGGTTTTGCCGAGTGATACACTCAGCAAAGACCACTCGGCAAAAAATGGGTCAGCAAATGCGTTTTGTTGAGTGTCTTTTGTCGGGCACTTGGTAAAGCCTTTGCCGAGTGTCCGACACTTGGTAAAGTTGGAACCGAAAAAAACCCGAAAAAATGCGAATTTTTATCAAAAAAAATGGAAAAAAAATTTTAATCAGTGGAGGCCCCCACCAGCCAGCGTCCACCCATCTCCAGCATTTTTCGCGTAAATTTCGCGGATACGTGGCCGGCGGGATTCGAACCCGCGACCTCCCATACGCGCGAACCTCATCTACCACTACACCACACTGTCACTTATGTCTGGATTCCGTTTTAGTTTCCAACATATTATACTAAACCGAGTGTAAATTGCTTGTTTGAGGTCTTAAACGAATTAAAATAAAAAAGTTGTAAACTACAAAGTTTCATAACTTTTCGAGATCTACACTTTTAGTTTATGAAGTTTTTCCATCCGAGGTCGTTTACAAAATTTAAATTTCAAAATTTTAAAATTCAAACGTAGTTTTGCATGACAAGATGATTTCAAATCAAAAAGTTGCCAACTACAATGTTTCATAACTTTTCGAGATCTACACTTTTAGTTTAGGAAGTTTTTACATCTGAGGTCGTTTACAAAATTTGAATTTCAAAATTTTGAAATTCAAACGCAGTTTTGCATGACAAGATGATTTCAAATCAAAAAGTTGCCAACTACGATATTTCATAACTTTTCGAGATCTACAGAGTTTATTTTAGTTGTTTTTCCATCCGAGGTCGTTTGAAAAGTTTGAATTTTAAATTTTTGAAATTCAAACACAGTTTTGCATGAAAAGATGATTTCAAATAAAAAAGTTGTCAATTACAAAGTTTCATAACTTTTCGAGATCTACAAAGTTTATTTTGGTTGTTTGGTCATCTGTTCATCCGACATGGTCGTTCTAACATTGTTCACAAATCTTATATATCTCTCTTGTAGTTTCATAAACTACAATCGAGATATGTTAGATTTGTGAATAAATTTACTTTCACTTTGTCATATGAAGAAAAGACCAAAACAAATATTGTACATCTTGATGAGTTATACAACTTTGTTGTTAAAAATTTTTTCATTTGAACTAATTTACTGCTTCAAAATGTGCTTTGAAATTTTCTTTGCCAAGTGTAAAAAAACACTCGGCAAAGAGCTTCTATGCCGAGTGTAAAAAAACACTCGGCAAAGAAGCTTCTTTGCCGAGTGTCAAAAAAACACTCGGCAAAGAGCTTCTTTGCCGAGTGTAAAAAAAACACTCGGCAAAGAGCTGCTTTGCCGAGTGTCAAAAAATACACTCGGCAAAAACGTCTTTGCCGAGTGCCCAAAAAACAACACTTGGCAATCCACTCGGCACTCGGCAAAAAGCCGGTCTCCGGTAGTGTAATTTATGATTTCTTGATAGGTTCTCCTGAGGGGACCTAAGAACGCCAGGGAAGCTGTCAAGCACTTCGGCCCTGCACCAGGAGTGCCACACAGCCACACCAAGCCATACGTTCGCTCAAAGGGAGGAAGTTTGAGAAGGCAAGAGGAAGGAGGAACAGCAGGGGCTTCAAGGTCTAAGTGGTGCAGCCTTGCGAATCCATGCCATTTTGCTCGTATCAGCTAAACATTACTGTTTTGGTGTGTTTAGATGTCAGAATCTCGTGTTATTACCTGATATCGGACCAATCAAATTTTGCTCCTATTATTTGCGCCGTGGGACTTGTTGTCAGTCCGTCACGAAGATACTCCCATATCTTTATGGGTGGTAACTGTGTGAAAGTATACCTGGCCTTTTTGCATTGCTCATCTATGTTCGCTTGGCAACTGTATTCTCGAAATTTGTTCATTTAAATTCTGCGCTTTCACGATTTAACAGTGGCACCGCCTTCTTGAAACGAAGTATACTGATCCTATAGTCCATTTTGGTTACCACCGTGGGAACATGTCCTGTGAAATGAGCTACTTGTGTAAAACAAAAGCGAAAGGACTCATTGCCCGTTGGTAACATGTTTGTGGTGAAAATGAAATGTAAAAGAACAAACGAATGGAAGTTATTTTCATTGATCTCTTGGAGATATATACATGAAAGAAAATTCTCTCTTCATGAATGAATAGACAACTGTTCATTACACAGTTATTGCCAAAAGACAAGTCCCTTTTGTGACATATGTAATTGCTAATCCTAAACCTAATCTTCTTAATCACGGATGACTAACCCTAAGCCTAATATATCTTCTTAATCAATGGTCGACATCATCTTTGGAAAGATGTTAACATGTGTCATTTCACAACAGTTTGTACATAGGTAGCTACAAAATGAGCTGACATGTTTGTATTGTACATACTCCATCCGTCTCAAAATATCTGTCGTTTTCGTTTTCCGACAAACAACTTTGACAAAATTTATATGAAAAAATATTAATATTTATAGTACATAATTGGTATCATTGAAAAGATCTTTTAATATAGTTTTTTAATAAATTTATTTAGAAATACAAATGTTGGACGTATTTTCTATAAATCGAGTCAAACTTGTGACACGAAGACCAAAAGCGACAAATAATTTGGGACAGAGGGAGTAATATCTATCTACCTACAAAATCAGCGATACTATTGATAACAAAAAAAAAGGTGAGTGAATCAACGGCAATTTGTTCCTGAAGAAGTCATCTTTGCACAAGAACTGTTTGTGAGATGGGAATGGGAATTTATTCCTGGAGAATTCATCTTTGCACAAGGACTGCTAAGTGAAGAAGGGAACAAGCAGTGTTTGTGAGATGCTTTTAACCGAGCTCCACCCCTAGTTACATGGGCAGATGAATTTACATGGGCAGATGAATTTCTCATATATACTAAAGTGTATGTATACAAAAGCTTGTAACCAAACATAAATATAAATTAATATTCGAAAGCAACAACACGTGTTTATAAGCTACTAGCAAGTAAGGGAAAGCACAAAGCAGGACGCAGCAGGTAGCATATCCGTTGTCTTGTCTATCACATGGGTTCGGCCGTGTTGATGGCGTCGAACGTCCATATCTCCATCCCGGTGGCGTCGACCTGCGGCGGCAGCTGGTGGTGCACGTACGCCACCGTGGGCGCCTGGTCCTGCGCCACGGCGACGGCGTCGGGCACGTACGACGGCTGCGGGTGGTGCTGGAAGAACGTCGTCCCCATGCGCATGACGTCGACGTCGTAGTCGACGAGGTGGTCCCTGCTGCCGCCGCCGCAGGACATGGCGAGCATCCCCTGCGCGGCGCCGGCGTGGATGCCGTCGTCGTCGTAGTCGGGCGGCGGGTCCTCGTTGGGGAAGTTGACCTTGGCCTTGGCCCCGCGGATGCGTCGCGCGGCGCGGTCGTAGGCGCGCGCGGCGGCCTCGGCGGTGGCGAAGGTGCCGAGCCAGACGCGCGCGCCCTTGGCCGGGTCACGGATCTCCGCCGCCCACTTGCCCCAGGGGCGGCGCCGGATGCCGCGGTACATGGTCTTGCGCTCCCGCTTCCTGGCCGGCGGCTCTGCACCATGCACGGGTGTCAGGGTCAGGCGGTCGAGTGTGTGTCCTATCCTAGCTGTAGCGTGTCTGTGCGTGTGCCCTGCTTGCCGTCACAGGTAGCAAGTGTGCAAACGAACATGAGTATTACCTTGGTCGGGATGGAAGGAGGCCGCGGCGAAGTCGTCGAAGTCGGCGGCCGCCGTGGCCGCGTGCGGCCAGAAGTCCTCGCCGCAGAGGCCCCGCTTGCCGCCGCCGCGGGCGGCGTCGCGCTGCGGGATGAACTCGGAGATGATCGCGCCGCCACACATGTTTTAAGTTCTAGTCTGCTGCGTCTGCGTGTGGAAGTTCTAGTCTGCTACAACTGCGGTGCTACGGAAACGGGGTGGATGCCAAGGAAGGAGGCAAAGGTGGTGGAGTGGAGGTTGCTGTGGGGGACGGAGCCGTGTGCCGGGCGTGCTTATATAGAGGCGGGTGCGGCGGGGCGCGGACAGGTGGTGTGTGTCGTGTCTGTGTCGAGTGCGCCGCGGTGGAGTCAGCCAATCAGGAGAGTGGCGGTGGGAACGGAGCGGTGACGCGGCGAAGGCAACGGCAGCTTCGCCTCTCCTCGGACTGACGAGAATCCGTGGATTCCCCCGTCGTCCCAAATCCGGAATCCGGAGCCGTCGCTTTCGTCTCCAAGGGCCCCTCCGCCGCTGCTTTCTCTCGGTCTCGGTGAACCAATCGCAAGCACCACAGCACACGGTCCGTACAGGTGTTCGCTGCTCCTATCGCTGCTGCTGCTGCTCCGGGCGTACAGAGTAATCCCTGCGTCTAAAAAAACGCAATTACTTATCGCTGCGTATCAGGAAAAGTAGTTTATGTTTAACTAATTTTCTACTAAATACTATTCGCATTTACTGCTCTAAAATAATTTATTATAAAAATATATTTCGTAATTAATCTAATGATATTTATTTAATATCATAAATATTAATATTTTTTCTATAATTGATCTACCTTAAGATACAAAATCATAATACTGTGCTAGAATTGCATTTTTTTCTGTACGGAGAGTACATGCTAGAGAGAGGAGGTAGCGGAAAAGCACGCATTTCCACTCGACATCGGCGGTTTTTCAACAGTACAGGACCACCGTATCGCACTACGTCGGCTCCGGCAGTAAAGGTGGCCCTCCAACTTTTTCTTAACCTTGTTTGTACGGTTTTTTCATCGGCTTCCAGAACCGTTTAAAGTCATTTTGTACTAAACGAGGTATGTTTCATCCGGAGAGTCTCTTAAAATCTGCTGATACAAAGAATTTGTAAAGGTCGAGCTAAAAACAATGACTTTATCTTGCCCTGGTGGGCCCTAGTGAGGACAGAGACCCATTGTTTTTTTTTTTGAGTCTGGAGGGACCGGAGCCCCTACAGTAATTGATTAAACTTAAACAAAAGTAGTAGTTACAAAAAAAGAAAGGGAAGGGAAAGAACAGGTAGCTTAAGAAACAAAAAAGAAACAAACAAAATTAGCTTCAGGCTGCTGCTTATTCCAGACTTCGTATCCATGATGAAAACTGATCTTCTTGTCTAGCCTTTACTCTGCGCTGAAGAAGCCTCAGGGCCTGTTTGGTTTCATAAGTCAGGTGACTTATTAAGTCAGGTGACTGAAAACCAGTGACTTATAAGTCATGCCTGTTTGGCTGTAGATGACTTATAAGCTCATTAAAGGTGTGGGCCCTACGCGAAAAAGTGTGACTTATAAGTTTTAAGCAGGGGTGAACCAACTTAAAACTTATAAGCAGGGGTGACTTATAAGTTGGTGGTGTTTGACAAAATAAGTCACTTTTTTCACTTTTTAACTTATACGTAGGTGACTTATTTGGAACCAAACAGGCCCTTAGTTCTTTGAAAAAGGCCCTCCGATAGTCCATCAAGTTCATTCTGATTCCTTTGAAAATGAGATCATTTCTTGCTGTCCAAATGGTCCAGCACAATAGAATTATAGCTTCCATGAAAAACTAAGTGTTCAACTGGATCTTAATCTAGGAAGTCAACTCTGGAAAACTGCAACTCAAGGGGATGTCAACATTTATTATATGCCAGCACATCCTTGCAAATGGGCAATCAACAAAAAGATGATGAACCGATTCTTCCTCTAGAAGATCGCATAACACAGAATTATAAGAGTCCAAGTTCATGTTTCTTCTGTTTAGCATATATCTGGTGCTCGGTCACCCCCGCTTAGAGAAGAAGAGACGCTCGCGGGAGCTGCCGAGCAGGCTGTGACCATCGGGCGTGAGGGCACGCCGCCAAGGCATGTGCACGGGCGCCGGGTGCAGGGCGGGGAGGGCACGGTCGTCGGGGTCATGCGGACGGCCAAGCACGGGCGTGAGGAGTTCGTGGCCGCCGACTGTGTGCAGCCCGCCAGACATGGGGCCGGGGAGGGCACGACTACAGGTGATAGAGCGCTCGCGCGAACCACAGGGGAAGAAGACCGTGAAGGTGAAGGAACGAGCGGATAAAGAATAAGAGAAATATGAGAGACAAAAAAGAAAAGAAAAAGGTAATATAGTCTTTTCGTCTCTTTTGCCTTTTAGAGCTGTTTTGCCAATAGGGTACCAAAACAATTTCAGTTCCACCCGAAGATGTTGCTGAAGAAAAAAAAAGATTTTATTGGTAAAATAGAGCCGTGCCAAACAAAGTCTATAGTGCTTGTATATAAGAAAGGAAAAGCAAGCTGCCTGCCGCTGCTGCAGAACGATGTGCGGACGACGGTGGGCGGCCTCTGTTTTCATTTCTCCGCCACCACGGTTGTAAAGCATATACTAGCTTGCTGCCACTCGTGCGTGCCATGTCGCTAACACTGTGGCACGTGCTAACGACACGCCCGTCATTTGCTTTGCTACCAAGCATATACTACTAGATAAGAAGATGACGGTGCTAATAAGATCACGTACGTTAGGTACGTAGTACCTACTTATTTCACGTGACCGAGAGACAACTTTTTGCTAGATACTAGGTTTCTTTTTCACCTGGAAATGACGTGCACTAGTGCATTGCTCAAACGATATAGATATAGCAGAGATAACAACGAGGCCAGAGTCGTGTCTTTTTGCCTTTTTTGTTATATATATCTCGAAGTAGAGCAGTCGAGTCTATATCCTACTTCGTCGTCGGCCGCCGGAAGACGATGACTGAAATCTGAAAGAAAGATGGAAAGAAACAACGACGAAAGGAGTGTTCCCTCTGCTTCAGCTATGTCTATGTATCATCCGCCCAGTTGAGATGATCGTGGTCAGGTCAGCTAATTAATGTTGAGTTCAACAACTGATGCGTGAATTATGTATATATAATAGGGGAGCTATATAGAGAAACAAAAACCATGGTCCTGTAGGTTTGTTCTGAGCGCAGAGAGCTATTTAGTCCGTGGCTCCGGTCCATGCGCACTCAAATAAAGGCGTGCAGTGGTTGACGTCGCCGTACACATCTTAAACACAATTTTAATTTATTTTTTATTTCTGAAATTCGTCCAATGATATTTTTTTAAGGATGCCACAAGAGAGCAAATGACAAAATGCAATAAATATATTAAAACGTTAAAGTCAATTTGCATTGTAAGTGAATAAAATAGCATATTAGTGTCTGAATAGTGCATTGTGGATAGCAGTTGCTAATTTTCGATCTTTTTCTGTTGAATGAATAGTAAAATATTATCAATATTGGCACGGTGTTCACTTAAAAAATTAAAAGTTTTTAATTAGTCATTACACTTCATGGCATAAGATTCATAAAAAAAATCTTAAATAAATAAGATATAAAGATCACGCATGGAGGAAACTCTTTCTCGTCCCATCATCGATCATCGTCGTTCAAATCACCATCTTCAACGTTCTGTAGCAATTGGACCATCCCCATTGTTGCTTGAACCATACGTGTAGCAGGTAGAGTGGCCTAATAACAAGAGCAATAGCAAGCGCCAATGTTAAGTTTCAACTTGTGATATGTTCAATCCGCTATAAATTATATTTATTATATTTATACTATATTATAGGGTAATCTGACTACATAATGCAAAAGAGGAAAGAGAGAGAGACACACACACGCGTATAAACACTATTTATCATGTTTCTACTGCAGAAAAAAACATTTGTAAAGAAAAATAAATGTCCTCGATGGTGAAATAATTAATCCCTAAAGATTTGAGAAAATATAGCAAAAGAAAATGTTGTAGACAATCAGGGTCGGTTGCATTTTGCAATTTGTAACGTTCCGCTCTACGAAAAAACTTTCAACCATGCATGAAAAAAATGTTCCATAAAACCATGCAATTTTATTTTACCTTTTTGTACGATAATGATTCGGTGAGGACGTCCGTCCGTCCGGGCACCGTCTTCCCAAATAAAAAAACTATTCGGACGTCGTCTTCCCAAATAAAAAAATATCTCACGTTCCGTCTCATGCGCTCACCGTAGGTTCCGCTCCGCTTCCTCCGCCCTGTGGCCCTTGCCTGCCTCCGCGACGCTAGGCTCCGCCGCTAGAGTCGCGCCTCCCGCCCGCCCCTGCCCTCATCATCGTGTATGTTTCAAATGTTTCATCTGCTTCAGACGTATGTTGCATTCAAGTATTTCATGTTTTAGATGTGTGTTCAGAGAGTCATGGGGCACGGCCCAGGCGCACGGGGGAACGGGCACGGCGAGCCAGATGCCGGTGGTCAGGGCGCATGGCGCGCCTGGATCCAGCGGACGGGGCGTGCTCGTCCTCACCCTGGCTCCCGAGTCCCGTCCGTGCGGAGAGAGAGGAGCGGGGTCGCTGGGAAGGAGCCGCGGGCATAGCGACAGGGGCGAGGTGCGTGTGCAGGGCGGGGCGAGGCGGACAAGGGCGGGCTCCGGACGTTCAAACAGCCATGCCGCTTTTTCTACCATGGAAACAAACAAACACGAGCGAAATCTGAATAGTCGTGTGCAGGGCGGGGCGAGGTGCCCTGTTCGCTTGGGATTGTTTGGCTGATAAGCCATGGCTGAAAGTACCTGATTTGGTGTGAGAGAAAAATATTGTTCATTGGCTGAAAAAATGCGGTTTATAAGCTAAACAAGCCCAAATGAGGGTGGAGCTCGCCGAGGACGCCCCGGAAGAAGTCCGGCTCCGACACCTCGCCGCGGTGCCACAGCATCAGCTCCCCGTCTCTCTTTATCACGACAGTATTGCAAGGTGACGGATATCAGAGTTGATCTCGTTGAACATGAGTTAGGAGATTAATCTGTGGCCACGTGAGTGCTACATACTGATCATGCTCTCTTGGTAAAACATGCAGGATTTCATTAATTCTTTTT